AGCAGGGAGTCATTTGCTACAGCTATCCCTCACTGCTGCACAGCTCCAGTCTCTGCCTATGTGTTGGCATTAATGAATGTTCTCACCAGTAAAAATTAAACCCATGATGTTCACAAATTGCCTAGAAGAGCAAGTGCATCTGAATCCCTATAGCAATAGGCATGTGATTAAAAGCTGTAATAATAATGACATTTTCTCTGCAGCATTTTTGGTTACTGGCAGAGGAAGCTGCAGCAAAAATAACATGCATGAATATTTCATTTCTAGTGTACTCAAATATGCAGAAAGCGCTGAAGCTCCTGAAGACTGAACTGTAAGGGGAAGAAGAAAGCCCTTAAATATGATGAAGTCTTATCTTCCATCTCTTCTCCACACCTTGATACTGGTGAAGAGGCTATTTAGAGTGATATTAGTGATGTGTAGTGATGGTTTCTATACATAAACACTACAGTTTTACATTAGCACTTTTGTACTGGGAAGCATTTTTAAAAGCTGGAGGCTTTTATTTTAAGGCGTACAGAAGAATACTGTATGATTGAACTGTAAAAATGATTTTTTTAAAAATAAATTCATTTCAAGTGTTTACATACAAAACATTGCTGTGTTTTCATTTTTTTTTCCCTTATCTTCATCTACCATTATTAGAAATAGTAAAATCACCATGTTGCTTGAGCCCACAGCTTGCATTTTACATTCAAGCACTTTGGGAGGAAAAAGGCTGCTGTGGATCAATCCCAGCCAGCAGCCCAGCCCCACACAGCTACTTGCTCTCTCACTCCGCTCCAGTGAGATGGGAGAGAGAATCAGAAGATTAAAAGTGAGAAAACTCATGGGTTTAGATAAAAACAGTTTAATAGGTAAAGCAAAAGCTGTGTGCACAAACAGAGCAAAACACAGGATTAATTCAGTGGTTCCCACAGGCAGGCAGGTGTTCAGCCACCTCCAGGAGAGCAGGGCCCCACCGTTGTAATGGTGACTTGGGAAGACAAACATCATCACTCCAAATGTGGCCCCCTTCCTGCTTCTTCCCCCAGTTTGTATGGTAAGCATGGTGTATCCCCTTATTCAGCAGGAGTCAGCTGTCTCAGCTCTGTCCCATTTCTCCAGCAGCCCAGGTCTGCTTGCTTGGCAGGGCAGTGTGAGGGAGCAGCAAAGACCTCGACTCTGTGCCAGCAATCACAGAAAACAACCTTGTGTTATCATCACTGTGGTGGCTGCAAATCCAAATTCACCACACGAGCTGCTGTGAAGAGAATCAACTTTACTCAGCCAAACCCAGCAGAGGAAAGCAGCTTCTTATCTCCAGTTTCAGAAGCTAGCTAAGCTCTCTATTACTCAGCCTACTTTATCTCAAATTATTTTCTAGTAGCACCAGCCTATGTGGAGCTTTCATTACCAGTCCTTTCTTTACAGCTATGAGAGCAAGAAGTGAAAATCTTTCACAGGAAAGTACTTGAGGCTAGAGAACTGGATTGTTTGCATACAGAGCTTGTTTTTCTTTTGAACTGGCTGCATTCTGACGTGACTTAAGATATGACTGCTTCCCTTAAAATGTTCCTGCTTACATCAGATTTCAGTAAAGCCGTGAGATGATTAAGAAAGGGATACCACATCAACTATTGGCTGGTTTCATGATTGCTTATTTATAAGCCCAAAAGGGACAAGAGAAGTCAGAACTAAAATAAATGCTGATGATGAACACCATGAGAGTATACATTACATAAAGACTTACACAAAAAGGAGACTTTCCAGCCCCAAATATCTGTTATCCCTGAACTCAGCAGCACCATCAGTGAGAAACACTTTGGCCAGGACCATGCCTCCATTATTTTCTCAGCTCTTTGGCAATAACAGCATTCTTACTACTTCTATTACCATTACTGCCACAACTACAAGAGAAAAACGCTTGGGAAGGCAGGACAGGTAAGAGAAGCAAGGGTTTCAGCTCAAGGGAATCTCTCAGCAAAATCAGAAGGGAGGTACTTGCTAATAGGTCTTTGGCAAGCTGTGCGAACCCTGCCTACCACAAAATCTCAAAAGGTACTTGGAAAGGGTCCCAGACACGGAATTCAGCACTTCAATAAGATGCTACTTTCTATTGCAGCATCCAGAAGACAGAAGAAAGAGATGCGGTGCGGGGCAGAGTCTCTAGAATCACTTACCAGTCAGAAAAAATGTGGTCATTTAGCAGAGGGACAACACCAATGGAGGCTAGAGCAGCTGGTTATCAGAATCATCTTTACCTACTTAAGCCAAAGTACTCTTACTAGAGCTACGTGACATAAAACAAGGGCTGCCTGTGCCATCATGTTTTACAAAGCTGTTTTTATAACACTATGGAAGTAGCACCATTTTCTTAAGCAGAGGTACTGATGCTATCAGTATAATATCCAGTAAATGGATATGAGGCATAACTACAAGGGTTTCCTAATGTACATGCCTAGATGCAAATACACAAGTTAGTCCAGCCTGCAAGTATCAATAAATGCTTTTGAAACTGAAATTCTTATTTTTGCACTCAAGGCTATGCTTTTTTCATCTACTTTTAACCACAACCAAATCTGCAAGAATCTTAATAAATAAATGGTCAATTTAATCCTGCTCTTTTAATCCTTTCTTCTAAATACAGATTTTTTGGGGGGGCTTAAAGAGGCATAAAGCCAAGCTGAGATACCTAAAAAAGCCTCTTTCAATTTCTTTGGAAAATCTGGGAAATCAATGCTAAAATGCATATGATCGTTAGATAACCTGAAGTACACAGGATGGATATGGGGGTTTTAAGAATTCCACTAGCATTCATACAATCTTCTAATTAATTAGGTCTAAAACAATAATGCAAGTTAAGAACAATAACTCATTCCTATTCACTTGTCAGCTATAGCTTTTAAGGTATGTTTTTACAGATAACACTTCAAGTAATACAAGCCTTCCCTTTTGTAATAGTTACTTTCATGTGTAAGGTGGCAGATACTGTGCAGTTACTCAATATCTGGATTCACTTTCTCGCATAGATGGAGAAGAATTAGATTGCTTTATAGCCAATTGTTTTTATATTATAAAAATGCGTATGCATTTTGAAAGAAGACCTCTTTCTGTATTTTTCCAGAATAACCAACTTGAAGGAAGCATTTCAACAAACTAAAGCCAAAAGACATCGAATGTAAGCAGTAAGAATGCTCCAAGTTAAATAATTTCCATTACTTTGACACTGTGCTGCTGTAAATAGCTTCTAGAAAATCTAGTTACAATGAAGTCCAAATCTCAAGCAGTCAGGTGAAAAATAAAATGCATCTCTAGAAACAACAAAAAGTCTTTGAGTGGTGAAAACGTTTTTCAAGAAGAGAAAGCAATGAAGTTCAATGAGAAAACCCACCAAGAATAGGCATAAATAACTTTTTTTAATGCTCTAGTGTGGCATGTCAGAATAGTATGGCATTTCTTGGATACTCAAATGACTCAGACTTTCTCTGAGAGGCAACACTCTTCACCTTCCAAAAACAAAATCAGACTCATTGTTTTACTATCACCTTTCAAAATCAGGTTTGGAAAGAAAATCCACACTTCTGATTGGGAATTTCAAGGTTTGTGTGGCTGGATGGGTTTGTTTAACCACAATCTCAGAGAGACAATGTATTTTTAATACAATAGAAAAACTTTAATCATTCCATACAGTCCACTGATCTATCTTCTGACTACTAAAACAAAATCACATTATGAGACATGAGAGTTTTGGAAGTGGTAGTATTGTCAGTATTTTTGCATTGGTGCACATTTACACTTCAGTGTAATCTACCACATTTATGAAATGAGATCTACCCAAAACTAAGCACTACAAAAACAACCAGGAAAAAAATCAAAATTGAAGCAGCAATGTGGTATTATTTTAAGTTTCATTAACCCTCTCCATATGACAACTCCTTGGATTTATTACTGTAATGCAGAAAACACAGAGCCTGTGCAGACCAGGAAAATGAACTGTTCCTAAAGGCAGCTATGAGATCATCACTGTCCTCTTGACACATATTGGGAATGGCTGGAGAGAAACTGAGGGCAACAGAACAGCAACTGAGAGAAAAAAAGCACTCTGTACATTTTATTAGACTTCAGCAGGCCTGAAGGCTCTTAAGGTGTTTCAGCACATGAGTGGGCTGTTACCCTGGATCTCCAGGCCTGTGTTTGAGCCAGACACAGCTGCTGGGTAGGAACAGCAGCAGCTCCCAGAGCAGCCCCAGAAGAAAAGGTGCTGACCACGGATGATGAAAATTCAGCTACACCTGAAGCCTGGATCTCCAGGCCTGTGTTTGAGCCAGACACAGCTGCTGGGTAGGAACAGCAGCAGCTCCCAGAGCAGCCCCAGAAGAAGGTGCTGACCACAGATGCTGAAAATTCAGCTACACCTGAAAAGAAGCAGTTCTATAGCAAGTTCTTGACATCCCTCTACTTTCAGTTTCTGCTCTTCCCCTTCAAAACATCAAGATAATTCCTTCTTCAGAAGCACTCAGTTTGTGAAAGTCTGAAAGTGCTTTGATGGGCATGAGTTTCAACTTCCTTTTGCCTCCTCTGCAGGAGTAAGAAGAGATCTCTCTAGTAAAGGGCGACTGATTGTATGAGAATCTACTTCTGTCTGCCTCCAGATTTCCTTTCCACCTTGCTCAGGTGCTATATTCCTCAGCACTGGGCCTTAATATTCTTCCCCTTTTCGTCCTGTGGACTTGTCTTTCAGGCTACAGCAACTGCCTACCCTGCCAGCAGCAGCAACTGAGTGAAGAATGAATGAAGAGAAGGTGCAGTGCAGATCTGCAATTCAGTATGAATAAAACAAATATGACATTGTGCACCTTGGGTGTTCAGATGTCTGCTCTTTCAGCTGTGCACCACTTCTTTCACAGGCAGCAAGAGGGACCACGCTTCCCTTCAGCTCAGACAACACTTTCTACATGCATAATGTACCATTCTAACTTGAATTCTTTGTTTTCAGAAAACAAACTACTGGAAAGCAATTTTTGGTTGCTGTTTTTCTTTCCTTTTTTTTTTTTTTACATGTCATTCAATCTCTCATGAAATCAAGACTTATCTGGATGACACAGAAATATACACTGCTGAGTTATTACAACAATGACTTTACACCATCTAAAAAAAACCAGCTGTACAACAACTTTCCAGACATCAAGTTTCTTATATCAGAGATGACAGACATTGATTGTGCAAATACCAAACCTCATTCACTTGTCAAGGGAAAAAAGTTTCAAGTTAATCAGCTGCAGATTACATTCTCCTGGTTTTCTTCATTCATTGTTCTCATCATGACAATATTCATTAACATTGTTTTTATTCTCAACAAAATTCTAAAGCTACCAGAAAACCAAAACAAACAGGAAAGAGGAGGGTTGAAGACTACAGTAGTTATTAACATATACTTATGTGCACTATAGAAAATAACATCTCTAGCTTCTATTTTTACCTTAACAGGAAAGTGGGAGACAAAAAAGTTTACTAGAGTACATCCTAAAACCTAAGTAAATCATACCCAACCATCCACTGTAAATTTTTATCACTTTAATGAGAATTCATGTGAATTTTTGTAATCAATGAATACAGCAGAAAATACCTCTAGGGTTGTTTTTTTTTTTTACAGTAGATAACCCAGTAGTGCTATAAAACTCATTGTATAGAGTTTACCATAACAATTAACAAAGTCTTAACCAGCAGTTCTACTCTGCCCAGCTACTGAATGCACCCATCTACTTTAAGATAGAGATTCTTAGAAGAAAAACAGTAGAAATTAAATATGAAAACTACACATTTCTTACAGGGCTTGTGTTTTATTCTGAGTACATGTAGAATACTTATTATGGAGCAATACCAAACTATGGAGAATCAGTATTTTTAAGTAGAGGGTGCAGAGAGAAGATTTAGTCCTTTATAAACTCATCAAATAAATGCACTAGGGTTTGCACGGGGATCCTTTTGGTTCCTGTATCTGTAAGTCAGCCAGACTCCCAGAATCTGAAAATAAAAACCAAAGATATTAATAAGCAGAGGGTCTCCATCCCATCTTCTAGTTTTACAAAATTTGTTTTGAACACGAAATTATGACAAAGAATTTTCAGTTTAGGATACAAGTTTAGGATGTTTTACTGTTGCTAAAATTGTACAACCACACTCCATCCTAATTAGAAAAAAATGCATCCTCTCTGAGAAAAAATACAAGTTTAGGATGTTTTACTGTTGCTAAAATTGTACAACCACACTCCATCCCAATTAGAAAAAATGCACCCTCTCTCTCTGAGAAAAATCATATCCTATCAACAGAGAGAAAAATAAAACCCACAAAACTATGAACAACAAAAGCCAAATTCACAATGCAATAAAAAATTTCCCATTTTTATAAGGAAAGTTAAATTATTCTTCTCCCCAAATGATAAATACTCATAAAGCTGCTTTTAATGATAAAAAAATCCTTCAAATTGTTCCATTTTACCATTACCACTTAACTATACAGCTATTCTTGTGCATTTTCAAATCTTGTCATTCTCCCCAACTAACTTCTACCCTCCCAGCACCTTCACATTTTTAGCTGAGATGGCTGAGATCAGTGTGATTCTGTTTAGCTTGCTGTATTCTCTCTTCTTGCTGTCATATGTACAAACCTCCTCAAAACTGCACTTAAGCAGCAGGAAGAGCACTTTCACATGCTCTACTTTGGGATTAGAAAAGACCTACTCTGAGGATTTTTATACTCCAATCAATAAAGCAAGTTATGCATCATCATGGTACTAAAGAGCCAAAAGACCTTCTTAATTTTAACCTACTGTTTAAACTACACTTCACTCCTCGTGCAACTCTATATTTCCACTACAGGTGGCACCAAAAAAAATTCTCAAAGACCTTATGTGTGCTAGAGTGGGTAATAGATGGGAAGAAGAGGGAACAAGGTAAAGCAACAGCACTCTTTTAATACTGTTGGAGAATGGTTGGTACACTTGAACAGGTAAGTTTCTGAAATGCTTAAACTTTACAGCACCGCATTTTAATGCTGAGGTTTGTTGTCTAAATAGCAAAGTTGCAAGAAAAGCCTTCCTTCTGACAGACATAGATCTGTCAGCAAGGTCGTATCTTTGAAAAATTTGGCCTAATTATCTGATTCCCGAGACTGGATTGAGGTTTCCTGTAATAAACCCCATAAAATTGTGTTTCACAAAGCAAAGCTTCAAAAGTGGGGAAAAAAAGCACTCGATTTTCCAACCACCCACTCACCTCTGTGAAACTGAAGAAGAGTCCTATCCCTCCGACAAATCTCAGCACCATTCCAGAATATTCTTCCATTATTGGTGCACATGGTCTACAGTGCAGAGTTCGAAGACAATCCTGCAGCAGATACAGAGAATTGCTTTCCATTTGCTGATGACACTTTGTTATTTGAAAGCATCTAGTTTTGCCTAGAAGTGACTGCTACCCATGGACAAAACTACAGCAGTTTTAAAAGACTCCAAGAGCTCAAGTGTATATATAAATGACAGTGGAGTATAAACTTTGCAGGGTGCCCTGTAATTGTCTTTTCAGTAAGTTAAGAGCTTAGTATCCCTGTAACAGCTACATTACACATCTGTTAAAATGCTGCTTGATGTAACTATGGAAACATTTTTGAACAAACACAGTGTGAAAAAGTTATGGTTTTTCACACTTGAAGAACTTACAGCGGCACAGGTTTCATTCGGATAAAAAACTCTGAATCCACAACAATTCAGATTTCTCTCAATATCTGTTCTTGCGCTGTTGGTGTTACTCCATCCCACCTCTAGAAGTTCACTCTAGAAGCCAAAGCAAATACATATTACATTAAATAAACTGTTTTACACTGCAAGTCAATATACAAAACCCAGTTGATAACACCCTAACTAAAGCCTTCAAATCTGGATGCTTACAGGAGAATATAAGCAGGAGAATATAAATATATTAAAGAATGACTGGAGTGTCCAAAGAGGCTGTGTAGCTAACGAAAGAACAGCACCTAACAGCAGCACATTCATGGGTATAATTCCTTTCCTTCCTTTGTTTTTGCTAAACCCAACAAGATCACTAGTAAGGGGACAAGTGACTGATCTAGCTGGGACTGCCCAGGCTATACACAAAAAGCACCCTCCCATGCAAAAAGCACCTATTTAGTCACTGCGCCCTTACCCACTTCTTATGCAGTAAGAACTGGTCTCCATATCACATGGAAGACTCTTTTACTTTCACGTGTAACTAACTGCCTAATGTAGTTATGACCTCTCCAGCTTCACAAGAACAATTCAATGACTTTATCAAAGTTACACCACGATTACTGTATATTTCATCGGCTTATCGGAAATTGCTGAACATGAGATATAATAAAGATATCATGATGCTACACCTGTGATCATAAACCTAGAAAGGAAGCTTAAAAACAAATTAAATTTAGAAAAAAAAAAGTCATTTTAGGACCCAAACGTATTCCTTTCTAGCTACCAGAGCCAAGCATTGACCAAGGTCTACTCTTTAATAAACAGGATAATGCTGATTTTCTTAAAATATGCTCTCCTCATTTTATGGAGGACTACATACACATACATGTGCCTGTGTACATATATATTTATAGTGTTATGCTACAGATTAACTGAGAAGGCAGGAAAATTTTCTTACCTGCTGTTCCTCATTTAGTGCCAAACAGGCACAGGAGACAGAAAACTGGACAATAAAGACTAGCAGAAGAATAATCATGTACTGGAAACAATCAGTAGTTAAGGATATACTCTCAAATTCATTTTGCTTTTATAACATATGCACCTAATGGTACTATTTATTTCACTGGGTAACAGTAAGTCCTTTAAAACGAACTATGGAAGCAAATTCTGACTGGATGTGGAAAAGATCACCTAAACAATGTTCCCAAAACCCAATCACCATGTATTATCTCCTTTTGGCGACTACTATACATAGGTGGTATTTCCTTGTTAGGTTATTTCTTGCCTAGCAAGAAAACATGAGCAGAGAGGTCAATAAAAGGAGCTTTGAGAGCAAGATCTCCAGCCATTTTCTCCAGCTTTAGGGACTCAAGTAATTTCAATATATTTCGGTTAAATAAAGTAATAGAGAAAATATTTTTCTGGGTATTGTATATTCAGATTACTTTTTTCAGTGACAGAGTCCTGTAATTAATTAAAAAAATAATTTTAGTGTAGATTAAAAAATAAAAAATATAAGAGTTGCTCTTGGAACACAGCCCCACACACTTTTGGACTACTGCATCTGAAGATAGTATAAAACAAAAAGAATAAATTTTGATACTAAGGGTCATGTTTTGAAATTTGGGGAGTACTTTCAAAATTTGGCTGCTGTGTTCAGAGGCAGATACTTCACACAATTTAGCTGTTTGTAAAGTGGAGGTCAGTTCTTATTCACAGACCACAAAAGTTAAACATTAATAGTTCACCTACTTTAGCCCCTTGCAGGGCTGAGCACACAGTAAGAGGCACCTGTGACACAGTGAGCTACCATAAAAAGCTCTCAAAGAATTAAAACAGTCTTATTTTTAAAAAGAGATGTGAATACTTCTATCTTCAGAGCACAAACAATGGAGGGAAAAAAGGAAACTGAACTTAAGTTAAATGGGAAGGAAGTCTCATTTAGACTGCACTTGAGCAAAGTAAGATTGTGAATGTCTGTTCTGTTTCTGAAGCACCTCCCCCAGCAGCCTCAGCTGACATAGGAGGCTGTTTACACAGCTCGAACCACACTGCAATCAATGCAGTGCATCAGAAGGATACAAAGAACAGCAGTACTTGATGATGTTTCACTGCACCGATCAATCCAACTAAGGCAATAAAGAAGAGGAAGACTCCTACTGCGATTACCACTCCAACAACTCTGAAGCTAGAGATGAGGCCAAAGCCAATTCCCCATGCTGCAATTCCAATCAGCAGCAGGCTCACCAGCTGGAGGGAAGAGAAAACACAAAGTTAGACTGCATATTAAAACAGGCTCCCATACTCAGATAATTTTTTTACATTAAAGTTGTTTGTAAAAAGGTACAATTTTTCTTTGTGGTGTAAAGAGAAGAAACACAACCCTAAACAAACCAATCCACCACATCATTGTATAAGTAATTTCAGTTCCAGATGTTTTAAGGCATACATATTCTTCCTACTGTCAATGTGGAACTGCTACAACTCTACCTGTAAGTCAAGCCATGTTGTACTATCAGTGACTGACTAGAGACACTAAACTGTAGATCATAACATAACTAACAAATAAGCTAAAAATGATCAGCTTTAATCCAGAGTAGAGTAAGAACCAAAAGTTCGGATCTTTTGTTAAACTGTGGCAGTATATTTAAAGAAAATAGAATATACAGCCGCACAGCTCTCAATGTGTAAAAAAGAGCACTTTGCCAAAACTTACTGTAATCAGCTGTATTAATTAATTAAAGAAGTTTCTACATACTTGATAATGTAACACAACAGTTAACATGGTCACAAAAAATACAATTCAGATCTGAATTTCAAGGACTTTATACAGTAAAACAATAAAGGCATCCTGTCTCCTCTGCATATTTTTTCAAGAAAATAGCTGTACTATTAAGTGAATCCTATTTCGATACCCAAAACACTTACGCTGTTTCCTTCCTTTTAAACATGGTATTCAGGGAAGGCAGGCAGGAATCTATCCTAGTTACTTCACAGAGATTTGTTTATATGGGCAGGAAGCTCCAGCCTTTCCTGTTTCCACACCAGAAAAACACAACCCAAAGAAAAAAGGAATTCCAACATGAAAAGCTGCAGAGAAATCTGTAATGAAGTGCAGCAGGAGGGAAGCAGCAGACAAAGCCAATCCAGATGTCCAAGGCACAAGATGCCCAAGACTCCGGTTTGAAACAGACCCATGTGTAACATTGCTCATTACATTCTCTGTTAAATGACACTAGTTCAACATGCAAGTTTTAACTTTCCAAAACTCTGATCTCACAAAAAAAAATACTTGGCTTTAGAGCCATTTTAAAAAAAAATCCAAACCAACAATATAAAACAGTAAACACTTGGTTGAGTTCAACTACTTGGCTTTGTTTAACAACAGGTGTAGAGCAAGCACTTATACTTGCTCACCATTTCCATTCAAACAAGGCACATTCTCATGACACACATTTTACTGCTTACCCAGAGGCATGAAGAATTTAAAAAAAAAAAAAAGGTAATTTCCACCTTATCAATTTAGTATACTTACCCTACCTCTGGGAATTCTTGTTGGCATTAATGCCAAATACATCTGTATATTTTTTCCATTTAAGTACATTTTAGACGACTACCTATGTAATGCAGCTTTTGAAACATGGAAATCTCAGGTAACATCAAGAAAGCTAGTAAAACAACTAGGGATGCTCATCAAGATCTAAACACAGCAGGTGGATTTTTTTGTTGTGTTCACACAGGAATACATCTCAAAAAACTTTTTACCAAATGCCAGTAATCCACACAAGAAATTCAAGAGCCTGCAAGAACAAAAGCAGGATATTTGTCATACCTACACTTCTCTCTTAACGCAAAGATACAAAAAACAATATAAAATTCAAAGGAATTGTTCAGTACGAGCAGAGTTTAGGATGATTTCACAGTTGTCTTTGTTTCTCTTAAACAAAAAGCCTAAATTACCATTTATTTAAAACCAAAACAACAGGACAAGGTGTCATGAATCAAAATTACAGAGAGGACTGAAGAAAAAAAAAATAAAGTTAAACACCTTGGCTCTTACACAAATTTTCTGAATCCATGCTGCACAAGGCTATAAACTTCCCAATACCAGTACATTAAAAATTAGCCTGGCTAATCAGACAGTTTATTGCAAGACCTACCTTTTCTGATCTATGCCCACTCACTTTATTTTACCATCTCATTTCACTGAAAAGATTTATTTTTCCATGTAAGTACCAGAAGCAAGTAACTAAAGAAACCCCATAGCCCAATTTCCAATCAAGAAGTGCTGTCTGACATCCCATGCTCTGCATCAGCTTCTAAACATTGAACTCACACTTCCACTACATAGGTTTTTAAAAAAATCTCAGAAGCAATGACAAAGCTCAATTTATTTCACAAAGAAGAGCAGATGAAACTTTGTTCCTAATAGTTTCCACCAATACTTTTCTGTCTGAGGGCAAATCTTTCACCAATCTACCTCCAGGACACAAAGATATGTTCAGCTCTTCAAAGCTCAATTTATTTCACAAAGAAGAGCAGATGAAACTTTGTTCCTAATAGTTTCCACCAATACTTTTCTGTCTGAGGGCAAATCTTTCACCAATCTGCCTCCAGGACACAAAGATATGTGTTTGTTCAGCTCTTTGCTCATTTCTTAAGAGGTCCAAAAGCATTAAATGAAATTAGTTTGTTCTTAAAATCAAAACAAGAGACAAAATCTGTGCCTCTACAACCTCCTGAATAAACACAGTCTGTGAGATGCAGGGTACCAGTTGCTTCTTGATGCCATTACTGATCTCATCTTACATTAATCTGATGATACATGCAGAAAATTATCTGCATGACACCAGAACTGTCCTGACACCCTGGCATAAAAAGCTTTTCTGGTAGAAACAGCCACATTTTCAATCTCAAAAAGGTCTGGTTTTCAATCAAGTGGGGAAAAAAAAGCCTCTCTGGATTTTAAACCCATTATTGACCCATTCAATTTTTAGAGCTATCAATCTCATTTTCAAGTGTTACCTCCATAAAACCAAGGCTCTATTTTCTTTCATTGACAAAGTTAGGAACTGTCCAATTCCTTAAAACATCTGGAAATTCTGTGTGTTCACAGATCCATGCTACTGGGCTCTGGCTGACAAACTGTATGAAAATGCTGTATCCAGTCAGGCAGATCCATGATGTGGACCAAAATTATTACTGGCCACTCCTCTCTTGCCACTTTAAATTGTGGAAAATTGACAGTTTCAAAACTGAAATGGAGACTACAGATTTACTAATCACTCCAGAAACTGATTTAATATTAAGTTTCTGTCTCCTCCACATGTTTACCGAAAGATAAAATTATGATTATTCCTTCATATTCAGGTTTGGCACAGACTATCTGAATGAGAGGAATAACGTCCTCTATATAGTTTTTAATACCATAATACAAAAAACTGAAGTAAAAGCACCTGACTACAAAAAGGAAAAATAACTTAAGCTGTTTTGAGAAGAGTTTTTTTCAAGTCTGTAAAACAATGCAAGGCTCACACTGTTATGTACTGTTTAGCCACTAGAAATGACCACTCAACAGTGCTTATTCCAGTGTTTTGAGATGAAAGGATTTAAGACTGAATTATTTGTGAAACTTCATTTTAGCTATACAAATTTACTTACACGAGGCTAGCTTTGGTTAGTAAAAAAAGTAAAAGCACTTAAAATATTTACTTGATGTATTTACCAGAAACATCTGAAATCACAGTCCAGTTTTTAGTGATTAGGATTAATCCTATTTCCCACAGAAAGGCTGGAGAAATGGCCTGTTAGACTGAACAGCCACAGGCCAGACTGCTGAACTTGAAGAGCAGCAATTGATGGCTCAGCATCTTGCTGGCAGCAGGTAAGCACCACCACAAAGGCTGGAGCAAACATCACACAGTATCTTCATCACCAACCTGGATACAACACAAAATGAATTCTCAGAAAACATGTGGACAATACTAAACAAGGAGGAGTGGTTGACTCTCCAAAAAGAGATTTAACTCAGATATACCTTGATAAACTTGAGGAATAAGCCAACCTTAGGAACCTTGCAAAGTGAAAAATTGTGCTCCTGGGTGCTTCAGTGGAGCCTGGGATCAGACCAGTTGAACAACAGCCTTAATGAGAGAGATATGGAGATCAAATTGTTTGCCAGGCTGAATACAAGCCAGGAGTCAGCTCTCACTGCAAACAGGGAAACCAAGAGGAATGCAATCAAAGGAAACACAATGCTGGTGTGACTGAAGCTCAAATACCATGTTCTATTTAAAGTCCCCCAGGCAAAAAAGGAATTTGAGAACCTGGCAGGAGTCAGTAAAATGGCATGGAGCCTTCATAATGAGAGATCTGAGAAGAAGTGATGGAGCTGGGTTTGTTTAGGCTGCCTAGGGTAATCACATACCAACTAAAGCTGAAGGCACATCATACAAACATGGAAGCAAACTCTTCTGGCATCATAAGTCACAGCTCAGGAGCTTCAGACTGGACATTAAAAAACACACCTGCAAGGCGGTTTGGTGATGATTTTTGTTCTCAGGGGTGTCCAATGCTCTGCAGGCTAAGCCACAGACAGCAAGGTACTGTTACTCATAATCCTGATCAGGGGCCTGGACTGATGAGCCCCAAAAATGCCTTCCAACCAACACTGCCATACACCACAGTCAGCACTCTGACCACGCCACTTTCTCCACACCAAAAATTGAAGTTTTAACAGGTAGGTAACGTGGATTTAGCAATGACAAAGGACTATCTTCTCCACCAATTCAAACCCTAGCTATCTTACTTAAAGGCACACACACAAATATAGGCTTAGCATAATTCAATATATAAACTAGCAATTTTGAAATTAAGTAAATGTTTTACCAGAACAAACCTTTAGATAGCACAAATTCTAGGTGAAGATCAGTAGTTTCCCCTATGAGATAAGAGTATTTCTACTTTGGAGTAAAACAAATCGAAAAAAAAATTCAAGCATACTGTTAGTAGACAAAACATGACTCCAATGTCAGTATCTGTATAAGGAAAATTTTAGGGAAGATTTAAGTTCAAGATCGGTGGAAGAGATCAGACTCCAGCTTAGGCAACTTCCTTTTTTCAGTACACATACATACACACATTTGAACTTCAGATCCATTCCAAATATAAGTTTCCCTAACAAATCTCCAAATTTGCTCTCTTCTTTAATTCCAAGTTCTCCTGTGCACATAGCTGCTCATTTCCCTCCTTCCTGTACTGGAAAAAACATATTTCTTTCCACAAGTGCCCCTTCTGTACTTATGTGCAAGTTTATAGTCTGCATTACAAAAAAGAAACAGAGATACTGACAAACTATTTCTCTGTACAATGCCATGAGAACAATTCAAATGCTAAAACCACTTCCTCCTTCCTATAACAGCAAGCCACCAGCAAATCTGCTGTCTTGACTAACTGGCAACTTTTTGGTATTTCAACTAGCTTGGACTGCTGGCTAGGAAGGAAGTCATACGCAGAAGCTGCTATTCCCCCTGCTTCCTTACCACCTCAGTACTAACAGGAGTTGGTAAAAACTACATGTCAGAATTTAAATTTTACAAACCACTGACTCATTATTCCTAGGTAAAAAGATTATATAGCATTTATTCTCGTATCAGCAAGGGAAATATTTACAGAATAGCTGTCAAAGTGAATATGGAACAGGAACTAAAACCAGAGAGATTACACAAATGATGAAATACATCCTCCCTAATCTCTCTCCCCGCATATACTTTAAGGGTGCTTTAAAATTTAAATGTCAAATGGCTTATATACTTAAGCTAGAGGTTTCCACCACTCTCCCCTTCCACTTGGGCAACCATTTCTGCACAGCCACAGAGAATCTAGAAGACAATTCTGATTCCTGGCACTTAATTTAAAAACACCATATTAAAACAACAGGCAGTACATAGTGCTGTAACCACAACCTTTAGCAAGTTAAAATGAAGCTAAATTGGTTTCTATCACAGCTGTAAGCTACTCAACCTGTAAGCAACTTTATTTCCTTACAGTACTACTTCAGCTTTACTGAGAGCAAAGGAAAGCTCTGGGTACCTCCACAGGACTTCTAACAGAAAGCAAAATCTTCCACCTTTATAAGACTTACTTAAATGAAGAGCGATCAGTAGTCCGATTACTGAACAGCCTTCAGACAGGTAATGTGGAACAAGCAGTTTATGTGAAAGGCAGCATTCCTGGCTCCTATCACAAAAGCCTGTTTTTTTAGTTTCAGGCCTCGTAAAGAGTTATTCACTTTATTGGTCATGTAACAAACTATTTACACACTGAAATGTCAGTTACATTTAACCCCTGCTTCATACTCTCTGGTCTTTGGAAATGGAAGCTTTCTGCTGTGCAGCAGAAACAATTATATTCTAAAATGTTTACTTTTACTTGTGTTTTTGTTCATTGTTTTTTAAGAGGTTACAAAATGTTTTCACAAAGTCTGGTGAGCCCACAGACCCTTCTTCCACACATCATATCTCCTTTAACACAAAAAGAGAAGTACAAAACCCCACAACTAATGATGTAAGCTACAAGGCTTCTGCAGGACATTCAAAGGGGTTCTCAATAATTGTGCTGGTTTTAAAGTGCCCACCCGCACCACCAGAATGGCAGAAAAGACCAGCAGTATCAAAACACACCGTGTTCCATATCCTCCTCCTCGGTGCCCTGTCATTCTCCTCTTTCCCTAAGAACAGGCTGCCTTCTCAGCTCCACATGCCACTGCACACCCGGCACAAGACAATGAAAAACCAAAATCCTCTCCTGGCTGCTCTGTGGACCCAGCCCATGTCTCCATTCTGACCCACCACCACAAACCACACTCACATTAGCTATATACTGATACACATATATCAGTATAGCTGAGGGCCTTTCCAAGCCCTGGAAACATATCTTTAAATATCTATCTGCACTTCTGCTGTATTCTTGTGCGTTCTCAAGCGTGAGCATAGAATCCTTCCCAAAATGCCAGTGAAAACAAAAAGTCCATAAGACTGACAAAACCAACATTAGCTTCCTTGACCTGGGAGCTTCTGTATCAGTCTTATTTACATGTCAAGACTAGACAGCCCAGCTTATACTGCCATCTTCAAAATGTTCTTTAGAACAACAGAAATGGCTCCAAGGCAAACTGTCCCATTTGCTGAGCATCCAGGCGTGACAATGAGGGAGGATCAGCACAGAACAGGCTGGTGGTGGGGCAAACTCTTGATGTTGCTAACCTAAATGCTGACCAGAGCCTGTCAGACAGGGCAAGCAATGGATTTTTTATCTTATTTATCTTACAGCTGAAAACAAACATAGGACAGGCCAAAATGGACCTGCACTCAGAGACTGTGAAAGAATTTGTCACTTGAGGCAAGAACTGTGCTTCTCTAACTCCTGTCTGCTTGTATCTGGCTCTGTGTAGCCACTACGCCAGTCAGGAAATATCAGAGAACACAAAGACACATTCCCTTTCTCAATGGAAACCCAGATCTTCACTCTGCCTCTAACACTAAGTTTCCCCTATGCAGCAAAAAGATTAAGCAGACAGACTTGCATGGAAGTTGATCCTGATTCCTCTGCATCAGGAACTCTGAAAGTAAGACAAACATTATTATAAAATACCTTAGTAATTAAAAGCACTCTTAAAATCTTCAAGGCCAGGTTGGATGAGGCTTTGAGCAACCTGGTCTAGTGGTAGGTGTCTCTGTCCATGGCAAACGGGTTGGACTATCATGAGTTTGAAGGTCCCCTTCCAACCCAAATCATTCTATGATACCAAGCACACACTGTCCAAATCTGAGAACTTCTATACTTATCTTGGCTTGTTTCCATAATACAGAGAAACCAAGTTTGATAAAGAGGGCAGAAAGCCTAAACGCAACTTCAATAATTAAAGCACCCAGAGAACAAGAGACAGTGATAGGAAAAACAAAGCACAAGTCCAAAAACTCTTTCAAACACGGTGCTTTGAAAATGGATGCAAAAACCACTTAACAGGCAATCAAAAAATGAGGCTCAGAGAATGACATAATATAAAAAGTGAATTATTTTGGTACGGTACTTTCTAGTGTTACAAGTAAATGTGGATGCTTTTATCGAATATGCTTTGTGCTACTAAAAAAGACACAATTCTAATGGAAAAGGTACTGTATGTTTTAATTGAAATCAAATGGCTGCTCTAGGTGTAAGAAAACATAAAGGCTGCTCATCAAAATGTGAAATGTTTACATACTGCCAACAAACATTTCACGCTTCCTGCTGCAGCAATAATTAAGTAGCTGCTTGGGTGACAACACCAGCACACACCACCTAAATGAACTGCAAGTACTTTTTTATTTGAATATTTAATCTCACGGCTCACCTACCACTTCAACCTTTCACCACTAGTTAGGAACTTCCCTTTCCTCTCTGAAAATCAGATATGAACAAAGATATTGACTGTTTGCACTTCAACACAAACATTGAAGACTTCCTTGGAAGCATAAGTTTTAAGCTACAAACACATCCCTGAATTTGGATTAATTCTGTGGACAGGCACTTTAAACAGTTTGTATAGATTTGCCATTTGATGGGAAATGTAAATATGACTGACTAAATAAAAACTCAATAGGTCAGATACCCAAAATTAGTATTTTAAAGGTTCTTGTATTCAGTTCTTCCATATAAGGCTTTATTCTGACAATATACATCATCATGTACTCAGAGTCAATAATTACATCATCATGTACTCACTCTCAATTATTTTTTTCTACTCTTTCTCTACCCATAAGGAATCATACTGAAGTCAGCAAGCCTCAGTATAGATGCCAGAATTACTCACATAAAATAGACTGAAAAACAGAATCAAGGCCTAAGGACACTAACGTAGTCATGAGAAGAACCAAAAGTCATCAGCAAAGTAACATCTGAAAAGAAGATTAAGTGAGCAGTTCGGTTAGCGGGTTTCTCGTTTCTTGCCTTAAACCAGTAACTGATTTATTACTGACAGGACATATATTTTTCTTGGTGTACTACTACAAAAAATCAAAAAAGGTAGTACTACAAAAATTTAAAAATAAATTAAGCTCCAATATTTTATCTCAGAGTGTTTTAATGAAAGGCAGAATGTAAACTGAAACCTCCAATATACAGTTTTCAAGGTTAATTCATGTCATATAGACACATCCGTGCTGGCTACAAAAACATCCAAGAAGTGTCACCTGTCCCTTCTTAACACCACTACTCCCTTCTCACCATTTATTAGTGAATCAACATGATTTTAAAGAGACAATCATTAAGCATTGCTCTGATTTCCTGTTTTCTGTATTTTTTTTCCAGCTGGGAGGAAATAAGTCCATCATTCACTGTGCTGCTTCAACCCTTTATTTCAGGTTTCTGAATAACCAAGGAACAGAGAAGCCCACACATTTTACTAGATCAACTCTACCAGGCCAACTAAGCACTTTAAGTGTTATTTGTCCAATTATGTATGTAAAAGCATTAAGTCTTGTAACTTGTCTATAATTAATGAACAATACTAACAATAACAATTGGACATTCTTGTAACTATCATTTACAGACGTTATTCCTTCCCTTCAGCAGAAACAGATGTTTTGTATAGGTCAAGTGACAGAAGACAGAGTGACACCCACAAAGTAAAGTCTACTCAAGCAGACATCAGAGCAGAGATTAAGGTTGTAAATACACTGTACAGGTACCACAGACAGAACTACAGAAGTCCAAAAGTTCAACCCACCCTTGCTATGGCCAGATATGCCCAAAAGACCTACCAGACTCATGACACCTGGTTAATATATGGCTATATGACTGCAGAATTAATGATGGAGTCATTAGAAAAAAAAACCACCTGCTGTCCACATGACATTACAGTATTATTGGATGGATGGATGTAATATGACATTACATCCATCTGAGAATGATCCAGATTTCTCTCTTCTGTCACTCAAGGAATAATAGCAGTAATAACAAAAGAAGTCATGCATTCATTGAAAAGCAAAATTGGGATGGGATAATGCACCCATAACCCACTTTCTGGCACGGGAAAATCTCATGAAAAGTTGACCACAAAGATCTTCTGGGGACTCTCAACCTCAGCTATCTTATGACTCTAACTCAGCTACATCACTCTACATCCATTAAACTTACCTTGAACTACAGATCCCAAACACCTATCTGCTCCCCTCTGTTCTGGCTGGGGGTAGCCCAACAACACGAGGCATCACAGGGATCCAAGCCAGCTTTCACAGCGGGTAGGCTGGGCTGCCTGAGCATGCTCCAGACTTTTTCAGGGACATATTTCACTCCTCAAGCTCCTCCAAGGATGGAGGCCAAGTAATAGTGCAGCCTGTCTACATAAGGTTTCTCTTCTGCTCTTTGCTGAGGAAGGGGGGGTTTGGGTCACCTTGTACGCCCAAGAACATCAACCAATTCTGGCTTCAGCACAGGTGCTTCCACACCCCTTTCTGCTCCATCAGGTCCATCAGCTATGTTTGTTCTGATGAACAGTGCTAGACGCACTTGTTCTCACATCTTCCTTTCAGCCAAGATCAGGCAGTGCTTTTGGAAAAGCACAGATACAACAGCCCAAAAGCACTGGCTGACCCCAATTTCAGTCTGCTGAAAGTCACTCCCAAGCACAGCTGTTAAACTTGAAACATTAGAGGACATTCTACCTCTCCAGATGCGCCACGAGAGGAAGCCATTACACTTACTCCCGTTTCTTGTTATTTCTGAGCCCTTTAAAAACAGATAACGAGGAAAAAAATTCCTGTAGCTACACCACAGTTGGAGGCTTTTTCTCCTCTGTTAAAAACAAGCCCTCCAACATGCTGGAAGAGAATCAGGCACCTGCCTGGAACTCCCCAGCAAAGTCATTCATTTCAGTTTAACATCCTACTTTTTTTCCCCCTCCTCACGTATCTTCCCAGCATCCCAGGCAGCCCGGCTTGGTGACTGCCTGCTTTATCCCAGGAACACCGGGGGTGCCGGGGGCCTCGTCACCGACCGAGCTGCGCTCATTTGGGCGCTGATGCTTGGCTGAGGAATAACAAAACCAACCCTTCCCTGCTTCACGCCTGAATTGGTGCAGCGCCCTTCCCAGACGGAGGAAAAGGGCACCGGCGGGCCGGGCCCGGGGCCGCTCCTTGCAGGAGCCGAGCCAGCCGCCGCCCCGGGCGGGCAGCGCTCCCGGGCCTCCCTGGATTTTGATCCCGAGCAGCCACGTCCGCGCGGTGACAAAGCCCGGCCTAACCGCTGTCACCTCCTCACCCCTCCCACCCCATCCTCCCGAGACGGAAGCCGCGACAGCCAACGGCCGCAGCGCGGAGCCCCCCGAGCCCCGCGGCCACATCCCGCCGGGAGAAGCGCAGCGAGCCCCGCCGCGCCACCTCCCCTCCCTAGCCCAGCCCAGCCCAGCCCAGCCGAGCTGGCGGCGGGAGCAGCGGGACGAGGCAGAGCCCGCGGCGGTGGGCGGGCGGGCCGAGCGCGGCGGGCACGCACCGTGTAGAGCAGGTTGAGGGCGCACAGGCAGTTCTTGGAGCAGGCGAAGCCCCCGCACGCCATCGCTGCTCCGCCGCC